AATTACTAAGAAAACAGTATCCAGTTTCTACAATCAGCTTAGATATCTACAAACAATGCCCAATATGAACAAGCATCCCAAGTTTCTAAAAACAGCACTTTGTGAAAACACTCTTAACTCATGAAATCTATTATCTCTTCTTTCTGCAGTTAAAGAGTTTCTTAGAAACAATGGGGTTTTTCTACTCCATTTAAGTTTATCCCTAGGACACGAGATCATAGTATAAAGTTGGGGTTTTAATAATCCTGCACAAAACTATTGACTACACCAGCTCAGCTAATTTTTACAAATATACAAACACAAGAGAAGTTAAACATTTATCTTAAAATACTGAAGAAAAAAATGGATGCTAAACCTTGTTATTGTTGTTGTGTGCTGTTGAGTTAGAACTGACTAATAGTGGATAGTCCAGCAGGTTTTCAGAGGCAGTAAATTGCACAAGAGGAGTATGCCCATCTTTCTCCCATGGAGCAACTGGTGGATTTGAACCATGCACCTTTGCATTGGCAACACAAGCATAAACAATAAGATACTGAATCTCATTACAGAGAAATTAACCAGTAAGGGGATCTGAAATTCAAATACAGTGTAGGGCTTTAAATGTCCTCTAATCCTGTCTTGTGCTGAAATTCAAAAACAGTTCTGGATTTACTAATACAGCCTTTTAGTTGTCCATCCTTTTCCCTCATAGCAGCTGGTGGATTTGAACAACCAGAAAAATACAGACTTTGGATTAGCAGTACGACTCCCTACAGACTACTGTGTCACCAGAGTTCCTTTTTGCCCTCTTGTCACCTCATAATATATGCTGATAATTTTAGAATTAAAAAAATTGGGAATAGCATGTATAATTAGAATTCAAAATGTAATTTTAATTCCTTCTTATTTACTTTATAAAATGAATGTTAAAATGTTTTAAAATAATTATTTCAGACATGTTGTTCTGTGCCATCGAGTCGGAACAGACTCATAGCTGTTCTGTGGACCATGGTTTCTCATAGATTGCGCATCTTTCTTCAACAGAACACCTGATAGATTCCAATTACAGGAGATGTACAGCCTTTGGTTTAGCAGCATAACTTGCTGCAAACTGCACCACCAAGTCCCCTTTAGATTGTAGATTTCTATCTAAAGAATACTGGTGGAATAGTTGTTGGCAGTTTGAATGCACCAGCCAGCATTTTGGAGAAAGACAATAGTTTTCTTCTCTCAAGGTTTACAGTCTTGGAAACTCAATGGGTGATTCTTCTCTGTCATGCTGGGTTGCAATCAACTTAATGGCAGTGAACTCACTGTCTTCTAGTGGGACTCATAGCTGACTCTCCAGTGGTTTTTCTAGGCTGCAAATTGCATGAGAAGAGATTGCTCATCTTTCTCCTGTAGAGACTCTGGTGGATTCCAACCATCGGAGAGGCAAAGTGTTTAGGTTGTCAAAATAACTGTCTATGGTCTACACCACCAAAGTTTGCTGTTATATTTATACACACGCACATATGAGCGTGCATGAGAGAGAGACAGAGAGAGAAAGAGAGAGTTTTCTACCATGTAATTTACAGCATGGGAATCTGCTTGGAGGGTCATTTGTGAGCTGTTTCTGACTCCATGTCTGTTAGAGTGAGATTTATTTATTAATATAACATATTAATTTGCATGTATATTATGTATACATATGTTGTTGTGTACCACTGAGTTGGAAACGACCCATAGCTGACCCTGTTGCAGGTTTTCAGAGACATTTACTCGCATGGGAAGAGATTGGCCATCCTTCTCACACGGAACAGCTGGTTTCTTGAATTGCATGCCTTCGGGATTGCAGTGCTGCTTCTTGCCACCAGACCACCAGAGCTCCCTATATTTTATATAATGTATCCTTTTTCCCCCGTTAAAAGAGACGGAGAAATAATCTAGTTACAGGCAGCTTTGATATTGTCCTGTAAAATTGGATCACTATTTTTTTTAAAAAAATACATGAACTCAAAGATTTAATAGAAAAATAATTGAAAGAATCACTCCTTAGCTTTATATAACACACTAGAATCCAATAGTCAGCTTGTAGCAAAGACATACAAATACATCTATCTGCCTTAGTTGTTGATAGACTGATTGCTTAGAATGTGAGCTTGGAAATTACTCACAAGAACATACATGTTGTTCTTTTGTCCCCTTTCTTCCTGGCATCTCAAGAACCAGTGTTGGAATATGATCCCCAAATTATGTTTCAAAATGTTTCCTGTTAAGAAGAAAATGTAAAGAAAATACAAGTGAATCTTTCTCAGCTAATGAAATGCAATGTTTCTAGATAAGTCAATGTTTATATAGATTTATCACAACAATATTTCCATTTTTTTTCACCCAAAGAAGTTCAGATTTCCTACCTAAATTTTGTCACTTATACTCTAGCTTGGAGCTTTTCAAAACGCTTGTATAAAATGATCACTGAGGGGCAGACAAATTTACAATTCGACTGTTGTCCTTCTGAAGCTACCTCCTGCTCCACACTTTCTAAAGGTCAGCAGGTCTGTAAATTTCATATTTGAGTGTTCTTTCAACCATAGTTACATTCTTTCTGTGCTTCCTCTGTGCACTAGCGTAAGATGCCTCACATATTCAGGCGGAGATTTTTTCCCTTCTTCTCTGGAATGAAGCTGAACAATGAAGATGCTGCTTCCACACTCTTTGCAGTGTGAGACTAGCCTTGGAAGGATTTGTCCTAAAAAATTTATTTTTCCCTTCAATGTTTCTTATTTTCATAGTTGAACAGAAAACAGTGGAACAAAACACAAAAGCAAACTTACCATAAATGTTTCATCAATAGAGAGGCAGTTATGCCATTTAATGGAATAAAACCAAGATACCCACCAAGGAAGACATTCAGATGGCCAACAAGCACATGAAGAAATGTTCAAAATCCCTAGTCCTGAGAGAGATGCAAATCAAGACAACCATGAGATATCATCTCACT